CGTGGGTGCTCGCGGAAGGCGACGACGACGGGGAGGACGATGATGAGGGGTTGGAGGAAGAGGTGGAGAGCGCGATGTTGCCGATATTCATGCACCTTGCGCCGATATTGCAGAATTCGCCCGGGGGCCATTGGGCGTTTGTGTTTGATGTCTTGGAGGGTGTGTTGGAGCGCGCGTCGTCTGTTGAGGGTGGCAGCAAGGATGCGGAGGAGCAGGAGGGAGAGGAGAGTGGGAAGAGTGGGAGTGGAGGGGCGGAGTTGGTGGCTCTTGCTAGGGCGTTGAGGTTGGTTGTGGTTTTGGAGGAGCTGGCGAAGAGGAATAAGGCGCTGATGGCGGAGTGGGAGGGCAGGAGGATGGGCGTGTTGGTTGTTATTCGGGATTTGGGGGTTCTTGGACGTGGTATGTTCGTCTTGTCTCTCGAGAAACCGGTGTTTGAATTGCGTGTTGTAGATGCTGGAGAGGTATCTTCTGTTCCCCGCTCGGCGTGTCGTGAACTTGTGTTGTCGATTGTGCAGCACTTGCCAGAGTCTCTCATTGATATAGACACTCTGCCCAAAGTATGTCCCCTGATCAAGCCTCTTCCCTTCAAACCCATTGACCTCGAAACTCTCCTAGATGTGTCATCTCATCGAGGACCCCTCGCCAACCGTGCAAAAAATGGCATACCAGCTCCTCCGAGCCGCAGCAAAAAAGCGGACAGAGTACTACGTGATCGAGGCAGCTGTCGATACCGAGAACACAGTCAAGGCCGTCCTCCCACAGGAGCTGATGGAGATCTTGCAACGGGAGCTGCATTTCGGGTATGGGTATGCTGTGGGCGGGGCTGATGGCGCCGGGCTCGCGGGTGGAGATCAGGAACGTCAAGACGGAGAGGGAGAGGGGGGAGATGGGTATGGAGCGGGGGCGGAGGAGGAGGAGGATCAGAATGTGTTTGGGTATTTGTTGGGGTGGATGCTTTTGTTTGACCTTTTCCAGGACGCTGTGAGTGTTTCTCGTTCATTGTTGATTGATGATGGAGACTGACGCCTTCTTTAGTCGTTCAAAGTGAAATCGAACTATATTGAGCAGCTTAGGAATGAAGATGTCGTGGTGGGCCATTTCATACCGTGTTTCTTGGGTCTCCTGCGATTGGACAAGGGGGGTTTGTTGAAGGCGTTCAAGTTGGATGTGTGGGCCGTCAATGTGTTCTATGTCGATCGTGAGTTCTTCTGTCGCATCTCTCATACTTAATGGCTGACACGGCAGTAATCTTCCAGTCTACGAACCAGGAAGTCCGCATACCATCCCCGTCTTGGCTGCACACGTGTACTACCGTGCACTGCTGACAATGCCGTCCCTCATCCACTCCTGGGTGCTAGACTGCAAAGACCGCCAACTAACCACCACCTTCACCTCCTACACCTCCACCTACTTTTCCCCCGTCCTCATCAAAGCCGAGCTCGAGCACGTCCGCCAGCGCGCCGCGTCCGGCGGGTCCTCCGCCGCAGGCGACATACCGGCGCTGACGGGCGATAATATGACGGTGAAGGTGGCGGCGGCGATTAATGAGGTGGTGGCGGCGTATACGGTGGACGAGCATCAGTTGGAGATTAAGTTGAGGATACCGATGGATTGGCCGTTGCATAAGATTGAGGTGAGGGATGGGGAGGTGAGGAGGGTGGGGGTGGATGAGAATAGGTGGAGGGCTTGGGTGTTGGGCGTGCAGCAGACGATTTGGGCGCATGTGTGTTGCTTCTTTTTTGGTGGTGGAGAACTTACTGACTTACTGGTTGATGTCGGGTTTGTTAGAATGGACGGATTGTGGATGGGTTGAGTTTGTTCAAGAAGAATGTGATGCTTCACTTTGAAGGGCAGCCTGAATGTGCCATTTGTTATTCGTGAGTTGCACCACCTCCTTCATGCTTCGTGTTAGTACTTAACGCTTGTGCGCAATCCGTAGCATCATCAGTGTGATGGATGGAACGCTGCCGAAAAAGCCGTGCAAGACATGCAAGAACCGCTTCCATGCGGGGTGTTTGTTCAAGGTGCGTAGCAGTTGCATGGCCGCAATCTTTCTCTTTCTTTGGGGATCTAACGGTCGCTTATTGTTGTTGTTTCATTCAGTGGTTCAATTCGAGCCATTCGTCGAGTTGTCCGCTCTGTCGTTCGGATATCATATGATTCTTGGTTTGCTGGGGGTGGGGTGAACTTTGGTATTTATGGAAACGAACGAGATACGATATGAACGGGTTTGGACTAGGTTAGCCTGGGCTTCTTCATGAAAGGACCATTGGCAATGCTTTGTACATGTGTTAGATTGTCGTTGTAGCGGTAGATAGATACAAGAATGGGGTTTCTTTCAATTACACTCTGCAGCGCGAACTAGTCGATGAGCCTGGGCTTTTGGCATCAGATGCCAGGCTGGGCTTATTCACCGCGTCTACGGGGGTAAGTAAAAGGATTGTTTTGGGGGGAGTTCGGACAGATGAGTGGGGATTGTGTTGGTACTGCGGTACTGGGTAAACAGTCAAAGTCAAATGCCCAGGAAGCGCACGTCATGGCTGAGCAAACATGTGAAAGGTGCTGTCCCTGCGCCAGTGGGTGTTGAGCACGGCATTACCGGTTTTGGACTCCCCAAAAATTGTAATTCCGTTCACGTGACAGATTATTTTGCAGGGAATGATTTTTGGTATTGGCGAGCTGCGGCTGGGCTGGGCGCGGAATAATGCATTATGAAAGGGAAAAGCGGCAAGACGGGAGGGAGAAGAGAGTGGGAAGGGGTGGGAGTGTTGTGGAGAGCTGAGGAGCAGTGATGGCAAGTCCGAGCCCGCGCCGCGACCATCCCCAAAGAAATGATGGCATAAATAGCAGCCCTGCGCCATCTTTCTTTTTCTTCGCCCAGGCCCCTTTCTTCCTTTCACGACAACCACGACAGTCATGTCGTCTTTCTACGCAAGAAAGTCGACGCCCACAAAGGTCGACGAGAACACCCCCTCCGACATCAACATCCCCGACAACTATGTCGAGCACACCCTCAGGACCGTAAAGCCCCTCCCGCCATTCTCATGGCAAACCATGGGCAAGGACCTCAACTGGCTCAACGTCTTCATCCTCCTCGGCACGCCCGTTATTGGCCTCGTAGGCGCTTACTACACAAAACTGCGCTGGCAGACGTTCTTGTTCTCCATCTTCTACTACTACCTCACTGGCCTTGGTATCACGGCGGGCTACCATCGTCTGTGGGCTCATCGCTCGTACAACGCGTCCCTCCCCCTCCAATACTTCCTTGCCATCGCAGGCGCGGGTGCTGTCGAGGGCTCTATCAAATGGTGGTCACGTGGACACCGTGCCCACCATCGTTATACCGACACCGACCTCGACCCTTACAACGCCCACAAGGGTTTCTTCTATTCGCATATTGGATGGATGCTCCTTAAGCCCCGTCGTAAGCCCGGTGTGGCTGATGTTAGCGACTTGAGCAAGAACCCCGTAGTCAGGTGGCAGCACAAGTACTACATTCCCATGATCCTCATCACGAGCTTTGTCATTCCCACCGTTATCCCTTGGCTGTGGTGGAACGATGCGAAGGGCGGGTACGTGTATGCCGGTGTCCTCAGGTTGTGTTTCGTTCATCACGTACGTTCTACGCTTTTTATTATTCGGTCGCGTGATCGTGTTCACTGACACATGGGTTTAGTCGACTTTCTGCGTCAATTCGCTTGCGCATTGGCTTGGAGAGACCCCTTTTGATGACAAGCACACGCCTCGAGATCATTTTGCCACTGCTCTTGTGACGATTGGTGAAGGTTACCACAATTTCCATCATCAGTTCCCTATGGACTACAGAAATGCCATCAGGTGGTATCAGTATGATCCCACTAAATGGTTCATCTGGGCGTGCCAAAAGATTGGAGTTGCCAGTCATCTTAAGGTACTTATCGGAAATTTCCTTTCTTGATTCTTGAATGCTGAGAGAATCTTAGGTCTTCCCCGACAATGAAGTTCGCAAGGGTCAATTGACGATGGAATTGAAGAAGCTGAGAGAGACACAAGAGAAACTGGCGTGGCCGAGTGATAGCAATGACCTGCCCGTTATCAGCTGGGAGAGCTGTACGTCTCATTCTACAAATTGTTCCTTTCATCGTTCTGACGTCCTACTTCTAGTCCAGGAGCAATCTCAGAAACGCCATCTTATCCTCGTCTCCGGGTTCATTCATGATGTTTCAACATTCATCGACGAGCATCCTGGTGGTCCCCATCTCTTGATCAAGATGATTGGCAAGGACTCAACGACGGCTTTCTTCGGCGGCGTATACGACCATTCAAACGCTGCACACAACGTGCGTCCATGCTGTCCCTCTTCATCTATTCATCTGTTAACATGGTCTTCTAGTTGCTCGCAATGAAGCGCGTAGGTGTGCTACACGGCGGTATGCCATCCGGAACAGACGACAAGGCTATCCCACCTAGTCAACGGCTGAAGATTGCGCGTTACAACGAGCTTAGCTCACCGTACAACAGCAGTACGGCATACTCGGACGGGGAGGGTATGCTTGGTTGAGTTTTGTCCTAGTTTTGTTTTTATTGTGCGGGGCATTGGTCGCTCGATTTGTTTGTGACATACGTTGTTGACGTTGGGTCTTGGTGACATGAGAGTTGGAGGAATGAATGAAAGAACACACATAACTTAGAGTAGAAGCTTCACTTTTTTTCGCGACGAACAGGAGTACGAATCACGCATTTTGTGATTACTTTGCTGTCGAAGAATATGGATAATATTTTTGTGAAATTGCTCTAGCTGTGAGGTCGTTTGAGTTACATCTGATCAGGGACTGCGGACGTCAATGCTTTTTTTACTCCACTGTAAAATTACGCAGTTCTTGAGAAACGCCAAGAGTAACATCCCACAAAAGGTCAACGCCACAATTGGCTTGACTTTTAGATGCCGGGCTTGGGCCGAGGCTTGCCATGAGAGTGGGGGTGTAGGGTACTTATGGTCAGATATTGTTGACCTGTCATGATCTCTGTTAGTATATCGGTTAGTACACGCGCCTGTCATAAATCGTGATCCGTCATGTTACGCGCGAAAGCTGGGTTCGACTCCCAGACAGAGAGTTGCACAATATGCGCAAGCTTTTGCTTTTTCATTCACTTTACTGTATATATACGCTATATGTATATGTATATGTATATGTACAATTAGTGTTGCTGAATGCTGAGCCAGCTTAAGACTTCAGCCGGCTTAAGTTTCAGGAACACCCAATATGGCAACTGAAGTTCGCTTCAGCTCGCTCAGCTTAAGTTCAGCTCAAGTCCGTGCCTGGGTCAACTTCCTGTTGCGGAACTCATCAGACACGTTTGCCGTCAGCTTATCTGCGCCCTCCTCCTGTGGGTTATCACTTCTCTCGCTTGTTAACTCATCTAAGATGAGTCTGCAAACTCCCCAGGTCTGTGTTTCTGCACCTTGAAGCTCCTAAGGAGTGGCGTGCCCGCTCTGCTTAGTTCCTGAAATTGCCCTGGCCGGTAAGTGAGAATTGAAAATTATCTTTGTGTTTCCTGAAGATATGTTGCTGATCGTCTGCGCACTTCTTGCAGTTGCACTCCCTGCAGTCGGCGCTCTTACCAGCAATGGATACATTCAGGAGAGAGCGGAGTTGTAGAACGGTCGGGTCTTGGTTAGGTCGCGTTCAATGTTCAGGGATTTGGTGAGTTAAATAGTCGAGACGATGGGGCGGTAACTTAACGATGTCAAATCCTTCAGACCGCCGTCCTTCCGATCCGTACCACCCATACTATCCATACAGTTCGCAACATGGATTTCAGCCCGCATATCACCAGCCTATGTACAATCCTGGGCCTCCGCAATGGATTTATCCAATGGCACCAACTGCTCAGCATCATGCCAATCCACCTCTGGTGCAACCTCAAGTCCAGTTTCATAACACTTTTGCTCCGCAAACACCCTCTCGTACACCTCTAGCTTCATCTTCCCTCAACTTTTTGGCGCCTTCGGAGTATCTGCCAACGGCTCAGAAACGGACAGCACCTGCACCAGCAACTGGTAGGACTCGAGCCAAACGAAGGCGAGTAAATGATGCAGAGAACATCAATCCGAATGTAGCCTCAACACCAAGCCACTCATCGATGTCGGCTAGTCGCACTCTGCTATGTACTCCTTCAACACCAACACCTACTCCTTCTGGAGTTGCAGGAATTGGGCCATTCCAAGCCCCGTTGCAAGAAGACACTTATCAGCCTCCAGCATTTGTATGATTCCAGACCATTCTCGCGAAAGAATCCAAGAGTACCCAAACGGCGTCTGATGTCTGGTATCATACCATGCCTGTATCGTCAAAGGAGAGACCAGATGGCAACCTTCCCAGTGACGCCAAGCTATATCGCAAACATCCAAAGGAGTGCGACTCTACAAGATATCTAGCTTGCCGCCTCTGCTTGTGAGCCCATAATCTCCTCATTTCTTTGTACGCTAATACTATATCTTCTAGACCAAAGGTTTGGCGTGTGTGGCTCAACCGCAACGGGCAGACGGAAAACATCCGTGATCATCTTATTGATGCCCACTGGGACACCTTCAGGGAGACTGTTCTTGTAGAGAAATTGAAGGGATGGGAGAACATTGTCTCAGGAGTGCTTACCGGCCCAGGGAGATCTAAGATTTCCACTGCAAGTAGGGAACCCTTTTCAGTTGAAGGATTTTATGAACGGCTTGTCAAATGGGTTGTCGTCGACGATCAGGTAAGTCAATTGTCTCAATTGATATCATTTTGGGTATTGATTCATCTCTAGTCTATCAACGTCATAGATTCACCCAAGCTTCAAGATCTGCTTACTTACATCAGTGCCGACCTTACCAATCGTGACATCCCCCACCGCTCCACTCTCACCAAGCTCATTATTCAAAATTTTGAGAGAGAGCATGCAAAGATATGCGAGGAAGTACAAGTATGTCTCTGGAGGTCTTGTGCGTATATGTTGCTCATTTTTGTCATAGCATTCAGCTGGGCGTGTCTCTTTTACAAGTGATGTGTGGTCACGAAAAGATCTTTCATTGTTCATGGCTGTGACAGCCCACTATCTTATGACTCGTGAGGGCCGCTTAGTTTTACGAAATTGGTTGGTTGCCTTTCGGAACATCAAGGGCAGTCATACTGGTGAACATCTTGCCGACATCTTCTTCCGGGTTTTACAAGAATTGAAGGTTCTCGATCGTGTTAGTACATCTAATCACATTATTTTCTTCAAGTGTTCCTTATGCCCTTCTGCAGGTTGGGATGATCACTCTTGACAATGCATCAAATAACAACACCATGATGGAAAGTTTACAAGAACGATTCAAGGTCAAAGGGATCATTTTTGATAAAAATGGAAACTGTGTTTGGTAAGTAGTCAAAGACCATTAGCTGTCACCCCACTTACACCCGTTGAAGTTGTTTTCCTCACGTCACCAATATATCATCCAAAACTGGCCTCAAACATTTAACCAAGATTCCAAGTCCAGAAAACAATCCTGAAGTTGGAGAGCCGGAGCTCATTGATGAGGACTGGCCACCACACCCTTCAGTAGACATGCCTATGGACTATTGCCTAGCGCTGGAGAGTGATGTTGTCGCATCTGCTCGAAAGCTTGTCAGTGCGATGCGGGCCTCTGGTCAGCGTCGTGAAGCTTTTTGCAATGCTATCATTGATGGTAATGAACGGGGCTTTTTCATAACTGAAGGTGGTGAGGCATACGAGATGGATCTGTTGGAACTTCTTCAAGATGTTGACACTTGCTGGTCCTCAACACTTGGAATGATTGATCACTTACTTGTAAACTATCCGGTACGAGGATTTAGCATCTCTAAATGCATGGCACTTATAATTAACTCAACATTCTTTTGCACAGGCTGTAAAGCAGGTTTTGGACGCACCTGAATTTTCAGATATTGCTGTGCATGCTTTAAGCAGCATTGAAATCACGGTATTGAAGGACATTTGTGCATTTCTTAGTGTCTTCCACTATGCGCAGCAGATTGTTTCAGCCGAGAAGACACCAACACTCTCTATTGTTATTCCCACATATGAGAAGTTGATTGGCATGTTTACAAACTTAAAACGTCACAAACCGAATGTTGCTCATGCAATCGACGCATCCCTTGAGAAGCTCAAGGAGTACATGGGAAAGGCTTGGTCAACAAAGATGTATGTTCTTGCAATGCATACATCGTTTCTATTGGAGCTGCAACATACATACTAACTCCCTTTCAAGTCATAAACCCTCAAACGAAATTGCATTTTATTGAGATCTCCAACAATTGGTCGGAGAGGGAATCAAGGGCTGCAAACAAGGCAGTAGAAGAAGCAGTAGGTGCACAGCTATTCAATATAACCTCATGTTCACCAGCATTTTATCAGATGCTTGCCCACCAGCAAGCGCTGCGCAAAGCGAAATTGGCTACAGTACCCGAAGTTGTTAGCCTCCGGTCTATTTATGTACCGTCATCTGCTGCTCGTGCTCAAGCAAATGGTGTCGCTCGACTCGATGCCCTCGAACAAACACTCTCAGCAGAGACCCTCAATGACTCGGTTCTTGACGGCCCTCCTTCAGCTGGCCCCTCGTCAAGCAAAACCCGTTCTGCAGTCCCCTCTCAATCTGAAGCTGAGCTTCTTGATGCCGATCTAACTGCTGTTTGAGAGGAGCTTAATAGGTGGAGAGCAAAAGGTATCATGACAGATGCGGCTAAAAAACGGGACTTTGACCTGATCCTGTTTTGGGAGGTGAGATACTCTTTTATTTGCTCTTTGTTGCATGCTGATATAGTTTCTAGGGCAAGAAAGAGGAATTCCCAATCCTCTATCACATCGCGTTGGATGTCATTCCTGTCCAGGCCTCAGCTGTGCCTTGCGAGAAAGTCTTTTCATCTAGCAAAGAAACTGATACCGACCGCCGCTCTAGAATTGGAGACAAATTCATGGAGGTTATGCAGATGTCCAAGTATTCACATCGCAACAAGCGTCTTGATTTCACATCCGGACTGCTTGCAACAGAGGAGGAGTGCAAGGCGGTGGATGTCCCACCGTCTACTTTGGCTGACCTCCTAAGGTCTGGGAATGTTCAGGCGTTGGAGAATCTGATTGCCAGGTCTCACGAACAATAAATTATATCTCTTTTATGGACATAGGTTGACTGTGAGCTGCGGTATTGAGGCGACATAATAGCCAGCAATAGTGTTGGATACGGACTACTATTTTAGGAAACAAGCTTAAGCCGGCTCAAGTTCGACTTAAGTTACAGGGTCTGGAACTTAAGTTCGGCTGAACTTGGCATTTAGCAACACTATGTACAATGTATATGTATACAGACTTTGGGGATATCTGCCTATACTGTAGTTATACTACATATAGTTTTGTATATGGTTGGTATACAGTCTTCATAGAATAAATTTCTTGCCTACCATGGCATTATATTGCAAAGCCCCACTGCCTTATCTGAGGTGCATCAATAACCCTTATTTCTGATTATTTTTCCAGCCTGCACAGTGGTCAAAGAACCATGTATTCTCTACTCTTGGTACTCTATTGCAATTGCAGCATTAGTGTTGACAGTGACACCTCAGGATGTTTGCTGAGGAGTTAAGGTGGTATAGGCAATATGAGGGGGGATGGGGAGTCCAAGTAACCTACTTGCATGGGTGGAAGGTATTGATTCTTTTTCTTTATCTCTAAATTCTACAGTGTGCTTGCTTTGATTGTTAGGAGCATGCTGTACCTCTTCCAACTATAGCACAGATGGTCCGGGAATACCTTGCAATCCCTGTAACAAGGGTCTCTGTTGAGCAAACCTTCTCAAGATTTGCACCACATCTGCCCTGACTTGCGCATGTCACTCAAGGCTGAAACAATCAGAGAGGCTTTGCTAACAGAGGTGTGGATTTGGAGTGGTCTGTTTGACATTAACAAGCCTCTTAGGTCAAAGAAAAACATGGAGAACTCAAGTGAACTGTATATATACGGTATATATATGGTATACATAGAACCATACCTGGATATATACCGCCCTCAGCCATGTATGTATAGTGTACGGTTGGAGTCTTAGTGATACTTTTTTGACGCAAAAAGACATGACAACAAAAAGCATGAAAACGAATTGAATTGCAGCTGATTATACTCTCTGTCTGGGAGTCGAACCCAGCTTTCGCGCGCTCGACGTGTCACGTTCATGACAGGCGCGTGTACTAACCGATATACTAACAAAGATGTGTTGATTCGTGCCCCATTGTAGATCATGGGTCTATCATGTATCCTAGTTCTGCTGAACTTGCAATTGCTGAAGTGGTCGAATGATGGGACTTGTGTTACGTCATCTAGTTTTAACGCTAGTGCTTGAAGGTCCTGGTTTTGGGTGGATAGGTGTGATGCCTGGCAAGGATGAGGTATATTTACACGATTTGTAAACGAGCTTGCGGGGCATTCACGTTTGCGACTACTTGTACAACTGTTTAAACTTTTCGCTGATGAGTTGATACCCTTCCGGTCGAGAATACTCCTGACTATCACGTCTTTCCAGGGAAACCCCCAATTGCCAACCTGGGATAAACATGCTATCCTAGTTTCCGACGTGTCGAAAAAACTCAATCGTCGCCTGTGGTTCAAGGATAAAGAGCATGTGAGGACCCTGCAAAGCGGAACAACCCAAAGTCATCACCCTTGGTCACCCGACGCCCCTCCACGACGTTCTCGTTGACGACGCACGTCGAGATCTCCGTCATCCCAATGGCCACGAAGCACGCCAATCCAATGGCGAGGTTGTCCGCGTGGATGAAGATCAGCGTGCGTGTGTTGAGCGATGTGATGCACGCGAGGGAGCGGAGGACTGGTATGGGTTGGTCGCGAGGTCGGGGTGCTGAGCTGTAGTAGGCGCCTTGGAGCACGGCGGGGCATTGGGCGAAGTATGTGCCCTTGATGGGTACGACCTCGTCGGTGACGCCGTTCACGGGGCTGTACCGGCAAGAAACCTCGAGGAAACCTTGGAATATGGTCCCGCCGATGAGGTTGTCGAGGTAGTTACCATCAAGCATGTGCGCGAGGGAATACGGCTCCCCTTTGAGCCAGAACTCATCTGATTTGCCGACATTGGTGGCGATGTTATGTAGTTTGGACTCGCAAGCGGCGTTGATGACATTGTCGTTGTCGGGGAACATGGCAGGGCGGATACACTCTGGTATCGTCGGTTGAAGAAGTCGTCGAAGGATGAGAATCGGAAGCACTTTCCCAGGTCGTTGACTGAGATGAAGACCTCGAGAAAGTTCTTTCCCCGATAGTACTCCTCCTCCAAAGCTGTCAGAGCTGGGGCAGCGAACAACCCGCCCTTGGACGCATCGTTGTTGAGAACATCTCGTGAGTCAGCGGAGGAGAGGTAGGTAGTCCAGTGTTTTTGAACATGATTTTGAACTGCTCGTTCAGCTCTGCGTGTGTTGGATCCTTCGGTTTTCATCGCCTGGGCGAGGACCATGTAAATGGGTGGTCCGATCGAGCCATACTTACGCGCTTTCTGGATGATGTTGTTGATGACCCATAACAACGTCTCATAGTTATCGATCTGTGCAGGATTTGAGACGTAAGTGTTATCTCGAGAGGGGAAAATGGCAGAGACGCAGCCACGTAAACCAGTGATTTAGGCCCTACGAATCATCTCCTTGAAGCCCATGAGTAATTTGGCATCTTGCTCAACGAACGCTTTGAAAGTCGCAACTTCGGGCAAGACGGAATGGGCTGTTTAGACAGGGCGACCTTGAAGCATTCTTTGAGGAACGATTGGTGGACCTTGTGGCAGACGGGAGCCATCCAATCTCCAGGAAGTTCTTGGTCAACAAGGTTGAGTTGGACATGCTGTAGCGACGAGATGTACTATATATATGGTTATCAAGTCAGAGCTTTGGAGAAAGAAAACCGCAATTGCGAAACTGAAGAGCAGGCAAGCCTTTGGTGTGAGTATTTGTATGACTCTTGAGTGGTATTAAGGCCTCCCTGGATCCTATTATTCTGGTAGAAAGCCTTTGATGGGTGAACTTAATCCACACCACACAATGGACAAGGTTCGCATGGAAGCCCACCAGGAGCCGATAAGGGAGCCATCGCATTATGGCGTGTGTCGGTCGACAGACGTTTGTTTCTCCACGAGACAGATAATACCACGAAGTGAGGCTTTGGCAAACTGTGGCGCACGCGGATCACCTGATGTGCAAGGCAGTAAAGATTTGAGCATGGTCGTCTGGTCGAAGTAGTCGACGCAATATAACCTTATCATCCAAGGGTAGTGGAATTGACAAGTACTGAGCTTGTTTGGCGTCTCAAGTGTATTGACAGTTGGAATGCACACATATCGAACCAGTGCTGCGGTAAACTGGACCTGATTCCACCGATGGGTTCCCAAGAGCAAGTACGAAGCGCGAAGCGGAACTGACAATGCAGAAATCAGGAACGCAGCCCCTGAATAGACCATGAAGATGAAGTGCATTGTCGTTGGACCCAGGATCCTAGCGAGCCGCCAAAGTCGGCGACATCTTGAGATTATGAACTAAAGGACTATCCCAGAGAGTCTGCGGCGGTTTCGCTCGTACCGATGCGAAACCGAAGGGATTATTTCCCAATAGTAGACCGTAATTGAGAAACGAGTCCTCTTGGGTGACGTTTTGCAGAAGGTACTTCTAGGAGGGATCGTCTCCTTATGTTCTTACTTAACCTGATGCTTAGCGCAGTTTCAAAGTTGCTTCTTTCAGTAGTACACCACGACCGTAATCCCTTAGAAGGAAGATCCCATACGAATTCGGTCGGTGTTGTCGTTGTTGATCGAAGGCCAGTCGCGGGTGTTTGTACCTTTGATATCAAAGTTGATGATCGGGTATCTCCTCCTCGAATCCTTCTTAGTACCTGTCAGTGGGTCAATGTCCAGTTCTAGACCCATTCAATCGAGCCAAGTCCGCCTGGCAGGGTGCATTTCCAGGTTGTAGATATCTTCGAATCTGATGGCGACGTCGTTTCTTCCCCCGAATGAGACACAGCGGAGGTAGGCTGCGAGACAATGAACCCATTGAGAGACGGTGCAAGGAATGTATTTGGGAGAATGAGTGGCAGGGTTTCGGTTTCTGAACTATTGGATGACGATGGAAGGGGAGATGAGGACGGTTCGGGTATTGTCAAGAACGCAATTGTTTGTTTAGAGTCAGGCTCGGACGTCTGGGAGGGTAGAATTTCTGTCGATGTGGACGGAAGAAGGGTTGCTGGGATGTGTAGCGGAAACGAAGACGGTCGGTGCAGAAACTAGGTGGACGAGAGTTGGTCAGACATCAAGGTAATAATCGAAAGCAAAGAGGCCTTACTTGAGCGACAGTGCCTTCCTGCGGTGCCATATCGGCATCGAGGGAGAGGGCACCACCTCTTGAAGATGGATCTCCTGCAGTTATCCTGTACGTGCGGGTTATCTATTGAAAAGCGGTCGAGGTTTTCAACATGAATAGGATCAAGTAAATTTGCAGACGTACCTCGCCTGTTGGTGACAGCAAGCCCAAGGCGAACTCCTCAGTATCTTTCAATGTATCCCCTTTGCTAATGGGTGAGGCTTGGGTGCTGATCCCCCCAGAACGGATGGCGCTAAGAAGCAGTTGAGTGGGGTTTGACGCGTTGAGGGTGTTGATCATGTTGCCTTCGCGGCTGAGGTAGGTTCAGTTTCGCTGTATTTAAGAACAGTTTTCGATCATGAATGTACCTGGTCACTGTCATTGGGTCGGCAAGTTTCCGGACACCCTGAAAATATACATGGGAGGTGGATGCCTGTTGATTCTTCTTGCCATCGGTGAGAAGCGCGAGTCCGAGAGCGCCTTCACCAAAGATACTGGTGTTTTGAAAGAGTGTCACTGGACGCGCGGTGATGAAGTGCGTTGACGCAGCTATGAGGCCTAGTTTCCGTGTGCGGGGCAGGGTATGGAGGGATTGGCAAAGCCCTTCTGGGTGAAGGTCGGAGAGGAAGATGAGGGAGTCTATGTGGTTGGGGCTGTACATAGCGATTCAAGACCAAATTCAACCAATATGAGAACAAAACAAAGCACGTACTCGAGGCTTCTTAATGCTTCTGGCAGTGGGGTGCTGGAAGAGGAAGCACTGCTGCCTGCACGGTTCCAAATGTCTTCCCAAGGTGTGTTGCCGCCTTCATCCATCTCAAGCTCCCCTTTATCGTTGTCTTCCTTCTTTCTAAAAGAGTGCCACCGTCCGACTTGTGTTTGTGTGCGTCCAGGGATGTCAGACCGGAACGGTACGCTGAGTGCCGTGTCGAATATCGCTATAGAACATGACAACACTGGGTCGCAGTGTGAGGACTGAAACAGGGAAGAGGGTAATGGATCTGAGAGACATCCGAGGGTGTGTCCGTTCCGTTTAGTATTTGACTGTGTCAATTGCTCAACTGTGTTCAGCAGGTCGTCTGAAGCGGGGAAGTTGGCGGAAAGGGCAAAGAGGAAAGTATGGCCCTTGTTTGCATAGGTATCATAGATGGCCCGTATCTGGTTTTGCAGGCTGGCTGGCGTTCTCGCGAGAAGTGTGCTCGAGTGTAATGGCATCGAGTCACCAAGGCAAGACGACATTGCGACGATAGGAAACTTCAGCGTTGGTGTCACGTGGGATAATTACTCTTCCTAATCCATGGGACCCGGCAATCCCTGCCAAATTTAAACTCCGACACCTCGATGCGAAATGGCCATAGATTGTGTGGGCTCGCACAACACTCTGAGCTCCCGTTATTTGTGCGCGATAGAGTCAGCTCAATGGTTTGAAAAGATTGTGTCGCGCAGAATTTTTTTAAATGTCTTTGTTCAATCTAAATGATCAAATTTGCATGTATATCTCGCTATCTAAGACAATATGAGAAAATCTACACGAAAGAAATTGATCAAATGCATATTTTATTTACAACAGAGCCTTTTATTTTGTGGAAAACGGAGCACAGGAAATAAACCAATGCAAAGAGGGAATCGACGCATTGGAGAGGTAGAAATGAATCCGCATAAGGAAATTGCCACCATCAAAATGTTCATTAGGGGCCAATTTATGTCGCTCTCCTTCTCGTATCGCGTTTTTTTTTACCTTTTAGATGCCTCCAAAGCGCAGCAAACTCCGGAGGAACCGCACAGCTCGGTAGCTGCCATAAACGCGAGAAAAAACGCGAAAAACGCCTCGGATGAGCCCTCAGCACCCCGGTCTCCTCT